TAGGAGAGGTTCACCCACTGGAAGCTGGATCCTGGCCCTGGGTCCAGGGTTGGTGGAGGACGGCGAAATCCCCGACCAAGCTGTAACGCTGGAAGTGGGGAATGCGGTGCTGATGGTGTCTGGTGGAGTGCTTGGAAGTACTAGGAAGCAGTGATTGGTGGAGGCACCCAGTCGGAGTGCCAGGCAGTCCGTCACACTTACTAACTGCATTTAGTGAGTGCGTCAATATTTAACACCTGTGTGATGTCAGCCTCTTACTAACAGCCATTGGTAAATGCGTCCATATTTAACACTTCTTGATGTCAGCCTCTTACTAACTGCGGTTGGTGAATGCGTCCATATTTATCACCTGTGTGATTTCAGCCTCTTACTAACTGCGGTTGGTGAGTGCGTCCATATTTAACACCGGTGTGATGTCAGCCTCTTACTAACTGCCATTAGTGAGTGCGTCCATATTTAACACCTGTGTGATGTCAGCCTCTTACTAACTGAGGTGGGTTACTACGTCCATATTTAACACCTGCTGTAGCTGGGGATCTGGGCCAGCTGCCCAGCATCCCTGTAGGGCCGGTGGATATACCTAGGTCCGCGGAGTAGTCTACACACCATAGGGTGGCGGCCTAACGGGGCTCCATCCAAACCTTGGTGTCCAGCAGAAATAGAAGAACGGTAAAGGTTCACTGTGCGATGGGCCTTACTATCATCGAAGAGTGAGGTGAGGAATTGGAGGATCAAAGTCAGAGGAGCTGATACAGGATCCATGTTTTATTCCAGGCACCAACCATGCTACCTTCTCCAAGTAGACATATAAGCCTGTCTGGTGCCAGATGCCCATGCGGCCTTGAGAAGACAGATAGTTGATTCCGAAAATCCCTCGATTGACCAAGATCCCCTGAAATCAGCCACACTAGCTGTAAAAGGTCTTGGAGAACCAGGGGATGGGACATTCTGTCTGGATCATGAAGGAGGCAGTCTAGCAATGGGGGAAGACATGGTAAGTTGATAGCAATCTCTAGAAGAGGTGGAAACCAGGGTTGGGACGGCCACAAGGGCATCACAATCACCAGAGTCCCGTTGTTGCAGAAGACAACTGGGAATCAATGCAAAGGGTGGAACTGCATAGTTCCTTGCGGACAACCAATCTTGGGTGAAAGCATTCATTGTTATTGATATTGGGTTTGGTCTCCAACTGAAGAACCTGGAAAGCCATGTATTTAAGCAGGAAGCGAAATGGTCTATGTCCAGTGGGCTCCATAAATGTTGGATGTCCTGGAAGACTGTTGAATCCAGATGCCAATCGCTGGAATCTCTGAGGTGTCAGGAATACCAATCCACTGTGGTGTTGGAGAGACCGAGGATATATTCTGCAGTAATAGGTATGCCACGTGCCAGGCAGAACTGCCAAAATCCCGTGCCCTGTTTGCCAGGACCTTTGATTTCATACCTCCTAGATGATTAATGTAACGGACAGCTTCAGGAGCTTCATGTCCATCTTCAGGAGAGTATAGCACTGGGCTTGAGCTAAGGAGAAGATGCGGATAGCGATTGAACCTGCCAGGAGTTCCAGACAGTTGATATGAAGAGTTGATTCATAATCGGGCCAACTGCCACCAGTACGGACATCTCCACAAGAAGCACCCCAACCGTGTAAGCTCATGTCAGGTTCTATAACCAAATCTGGTGCTGCGGCGAAGATGGCGCGACCGTTCCACGCATCCATGTGAGTAAGCCACTATTTCAGTTCGTTTTCACTTCTGAGTCCAGAATTACTTTATCTGTGTAGAATGCACCTTCCCTCAGATGGAAAGTCTGTAAATATTATAGGGCTTGGTAGTGAAGAGGGCCCAGAAAAAAAGCTTGTATGGAAGCCGCCAAGGGACCGATAATTCTCGCCAATTGTTTGAGAGTAAGTTGGGGGGTCGCCAGTGTGCGCCTGAGTTCTTTCTTGATATTGGACTTGTTTTGACACTGGAAGATGCAGGGTCTGAAGAGTAAAATCTACAGTGAGACCCAGAAATTCTATGCGTTGTGTAGGAGTCACGATGGATTTTTCCAATTGATGAGGAAGCCTAGATTCTGTAACAGAGTCAAAGTCCAGTACAGATTAGGTTTGAGGAGTTGAATAGACTGAGCCATGAGGAGGATGTCGTCTAAGTATATTTTCAGACGTATTACTCGACTTCGTAACAGCGCGATCACGGGCTTCATGAGTTTGGTGAAGCACCACGGGGCTGAAGACAGCCCGAATGGGAGGCACAAGAACCTCCATTTCTTTCCCTGCCAAATGAACTGCAGGCAGTCTTGGTGTTGTAATGCTATATTCACTGCGAGGTAGGCATCCTGTAGTTCCAACTTTGCCATCCAATCTGATGGTTGGAGAAGATCTCGCAAACAATGTATAACTTCTAGCTTGAAGTGGTGATAGGTTACATAAGTGTTGAACTGTCTCAAGTTTATCACTGGGCGGACACCTCCGCCTTTTTTGGCAACCGTGAAGAGGATGCTCACATAACCCGTAGTGGATATTGGAATTTGTATGATGGCTTGTCTGCGCATCAGATTCAATATTTCCTTGGTGACAAGGTCTGCATCTTGTCTGAATCAGTCTGTTCCCCACTACCAATAGGGAAGAATGTAGATTGAGAGGACTTACTATAACGTCGTGGTCCACGGGAAACCCACGGTCAACCATGTTGTGGAAAGAAGGCAGGTGGATTGTGGTGTTCCAGGAAACTGGCCCGCCCTGTATTGGAGCCTTGTCTCTGCTTAAACTAACTTCTGGTAATACAGCCAGATAGTCGGCTCTTGGCTCTTCCTGATCCACCAAAAACCCTAGGGTTAAAAACTTTGCACATATTTGATTGCGCTTATCTAAGGCAGTAAATTGTGTATGAAAGAAGAGTTCTTTGACAAAATTTTCTCCAAATAGGAGACCATTGGCTTAAGCGCCCGGCTCGTTCAGAGTCATATTGACCAATTAGGTTACATTTTTTGGAAATGTATCAACAGAAACCGGAATGGGTGTAATAGACCCAGAGGATGCTGAGGATACTTGTCAGACTGCATTTTAAATAAGAACTGACAATTTTATAGTCAGTGTAAAACCTAAGAAAAGGGTTGATTATTAAGATCTTACAATTTTATAGTAAGTGTAAAACCTAAGAAAAAGGGTTGATTAACCCAAATAGAGGATCTAGGGTAAAAGGAAGGAAAAATGTACACATAGTAGTTGAATACAATCTAAATTTATTCAAAAACACCAGAGCCGTCCGACAGCCACTAAAACTAAATCCCAACTCCAAGTTCCGGCCATTGGGGGCAGCACTTACGACAAAACGCAGGGAAAAAAAGCAAGAAAATGGCTCCCGCGAACAAAAACGAAATAGCCGTACGTATAAGGCACTATGTGCGCTCGGGGAAAAAACTCCCGAACGCTATAACTGAACGAAACGTGCGTGCGTGCATTCGAAACAAGCGTGTGCCTGTTGGAACAGTAAAAAGGCTCACAAAAAAATGGAGCGAAAGCGCCGACCAGGGAACAGATAGTCCCTGAAGACGTTCCTGAGCTCTATTTATAAAACTAGGCTCAGGGAGGTCCCGGAACACAAGCAATACACAAATAGCTATATCAAATGTAAATAAAACAATATAAATCAAGGAATCAATAAATATACAATTTAATATACCAAGAATAAACTAATGTATTAATACTGTATAATAAGAAATAGTATAATTAAATACATCAACTATATTATCAAATATTACATTTAAAAGATCCCACCGTTAAGAAAACCGTTGGGACCTGGTGTTACTTAACTTAGGGAGCAGCAAAGAAAGAGGAAATAGTTTACGCATCATCGCCTATTATGCTGGAGAGTGGAATCTGATTGGCTGTTCCTGTCGCTAGGAATATATACCGCTCATGCTATTTATTGTTATCATTACCTTTGAATGTTATATTTTCTTTGCTGCTGAGGGAAATAAAGAAAGAGTTAGTGCAGCATAATACTCGCCTCTGTGTCATTAATACAATTCTGATCTGTCTAGTTAACAGTAACCAATCAGAGACCAGCATAGTAAGAGCTGGGTAATTCCCTTTAGTATGTGAGTGATGTGATTGTATTGATCAGTTGTCTGAATACTATTGTCAAGAGCCATGTACCCAATTATTACTCGGCCAGGAGAATGTCACTGATTTAAACTTCTGGGATGATAATTGCCATTGAGATCTGCGGGGTCCAAGTATTAATCTGCAAATAAGGACATGTGGTGAATTTTTTTATAGCTTGACAGTAAGAGCTACATGCTATTGCACTTTTATCCAACATAATCAAAGATTTATTCCGCTGTTTTTCTTTTAATACTCTGCAGGAAACCTAACGGCCGTAAATCTGACATCTTTATCTAACCATCTGTTTGTTTTATTTTTGTCTCAATTTTTTTAGACTCAGTTCTATATATAATGTAAATCACTAATATTGTGCTGTTTTCCTCTGTCGTGTGTCTCGTTCTGATGTGTGGCGCCACATAAAAATCTAAAATATATAAAATAAACAGTTTGCTTCCAAACTAATACGGCCTGCGTGTGAAACGCACACATTGCTTATGGAAAGTCGTGCAATGTAAAGTTCCTTCTGTTTGCCAAGAACGACCGCAAGGTATATAGTATCCCACCAAGGCCTAGCAAGGCGTCCGGGATTGGTTTAACATGGGGAAACGAGGTTGGAACCTGGTTTCCTTTTATATTTTATTTAGATAAGTCTCCACTCAGCGGGGTGGTTTCTTAATTAGAGCAGTGTGATGGTGTAAGCCGTGAGCCTCGAATCCCTGCCCTGATTCTAAGGTTACATGGAGGAAGCTGCAACGTTTTATTTCCTGAACTACAACAGCTGAACAGCAAGCAACATTCGAATAGGAGGAAAAGACATGCAGTTTAATCAACTTAGTGAGGTTCATAAGGGATTTGAGACTTGTCTTTGGAAGGTTCCTTATTTTTCTTCCATCACCTCGAGATGATGAGATGCAGGAGACTAAGAGGAGATGAAATTATGATCGCTTTTACTTCAACAATCTTTTGTTGCAGTGGCTGAGTGACACATCCTTAACGGAGAATCAAGAGGTCTCGCGTAAAATGAATTCTAGTCAGAATGCAGATGAGGAAAGACTATCACCTCCTGTACTTGGGAACATTCTAAATTGGCTGACCTTGTGACCCCAGAATGCATTAACCCTTAAGTAACCCATCTTCGAGGACTCATTGTAGTTGTTAACCCCTTTTGCTAAGCCACTTAAACAAAAAAATCAAAAAAAAAAAATCATCATATATGGAAACCAATTCTACATTTAATGTTAATATATATTTTGAAGCCACAATCTTTCATGACACCATTGAGAATATGTGCGTTCCACATAAAGCGGATTTGTCACCCCCATAAAAATGAGCATTTCTTACAGGTAAAATCTTTTTGAAACACTCATAAAGACTGTGTTGGTGTTTCACTATAACTACAACGCAATCAAAAGATATCATAAGACAAACCATAAACTACTTTATTGGATGTATTTTCGTACACTTGACCAAGCTTGACAGAAGATGGAGTAACCGCTTCTCAAGCCTTATCAATCCCTGAGCCGTCACTTGACAGGTGAGGAATAAACGGCTCTTTCTATGGAGGTATGTGTGAGAGTTTAGCACTGCTGTCGGCTCCTGGCAGATGAAGAGCTGAAGAGGCCATCAAAGAAGGTGGCGGTGGTCACGAGAGACAAAAAAAACAGCCTTCCTCTGCACCCCTGACCACAGTCACGATATGTGGTCTTAGAAAAATCTGAAAGGACCCAAAAAGGTGACAAATCCACTTTAAACAATGGAGAGCAAGACAGAAGGCTATTGGGAGTGTATGGCCTTGACAATTATATTTGACACACAGGACTTGGCGAAGGAGATTTTTTTTTACTTTGGTGAAGAGAAACAGCTGTTAATGTAAGGCTGTAACATCACCTGCAGTCTAGGTCTGGACCATCCTCCATGTTGCTCCTCAAACTGATGCCACAAGTCCTCCTGGCATCTTAATTAATATTGGATACTACCCCTTTTTGGCCTTTTATCTGTGTAGCGATTTTACCACGAAATTTTGTGAGTCATTTACCAAGAGCCCATTCTGCTACATTGTACGTATGCAAACAAGGACCAGTGGTGGCATGGTCTTTCCTATATTAGCCACCACATACTCACTGCTGTGGTCTTGTGGTTTCTTGCATTCTTGTTTTGGTATAAGGACCCAGCTTGGCTATATTCATCTCATTCTGTTAACATTGATTTGAACACTAGACATTATGTTAACCTGATCTCTGACCTACTTGATCTGTCTACCTGATATTTCACCTTATTATAAGCATAAGTAATGTGTTACTGTTTTGCTTTTCATTACTTCTTTGTATGAATTTCCTGAGACTCAAACTCCACATGTCGGGTTTTCAAGGCCACCATGAGGTTTTTGATGCCACTAAGACGAAGAGAATAATATTGCCATAGCACTTTTAAAAGAAGGCCCATCTGTCTCCTCTGCTATGGGAGGACTGCTGTCAGTGAGATCGTCTACACTTACCATTAAATAACAGAATTCAGAAGGTGATCTCCTGGTTCAAGTTGTATGTTTGACTCTTTGTCCAACAGCAGTAAGAATGCCACGATTGGTAGGGAACCTAACACACAGAGAGGACACAACAGACAGAATTGTAATACCGGTCCTCAGAATGGCCGGGCTATGCATGTTAAAGCAAGCCAAGGTCAAAGGGAAATAGAGAGATGGAATACGAAGAGACAAGCCGAGGTCACAGAAAACAGAGTAAACGTAAGAAAAGCCAAAGTTCGGTAACCAATTAATCAGAGTATAACACGCTATTGGGCTAAACAGAGACCACAACAGGGCACATGGCAAGGGGGAGGTTAGCTTATATACACACAGGGTGTGTCTGATTGGCTAACCTCCAATTAGTGTTAACCACAACACGTTGGAAGTGTTTCTTCCCTCCCTTGTGGTCTCTGAGGTCATCACTGTGTGCTGGGTCTGGCACACATATAACAATGCTGCTCTGGAGCGTGCAGCGTCAGAAACACTGTCAGTCTGGGGAGCGGCGGCGGGGGGGAGCGGCACACCACGGACAAGGACCAGATGGCACTGCACGAGGTGTAAGCGAGGACGCTGCGAGCGGCATGGAGGCACGGGACCTGACAAAGAGGCTGCTTCTTAGTATACTACCAGAAACCATTCACTCGTTCATATCAATTAAGTGATATCAGAAATAAACAGACTTCAGTCAAGTAAGACTATCGTATGTTCCAAACTGAACAATTTCAAAAAATAGAAAACAGCTTCACTCAGCATACGTTCACGTGTTCATTAGCCAATGTTCCGAACTCTATTGCATGATCCCAATCTTGATGGAAGATAGCAGGAGTATAAAGTGAAAGGATGAGCCACACAACCCAAATGTTAATTATTTCTACCTAAAACAGCAAGAGATCTGATGGGGATCCAAATGCTGCATTTGTGCCCATTCCAAATTTTATAAGTTCCAGATATTTCATAATTCTTTTTTAACAGTAATGTAATGTTTCAAATAGATACAGAGAGGCTCCCAGAATTGGCTCGTTAATTTCTCTTGTATGTTTAAACCCTCACTGGATTTCTTCCGAAATATGATGCCCTCAAACGTCTGATCCAATTCCAATGGATCTCAATTCATCTGAACTATGGGTGATTGGCGATGCACCAAATTCCGCATGTCGTCGTATAATGAAATTTGATCTGTCTGAACCAAAACCTTTTAATTTCCAGATGAGTCGATTTAAATGAACTGAAGTTTTTCTTTGTACACAACTCGAATATATGGATACATAAATAAATACATAGACAGACAGGCATATACACCCTGTTCGAAATTATTATGCAAATTCTATTTAAGTGTCACAAAGATTAAATATTTTGTTTAATACCATTACATAGCAGCAAACAGATATTTGAAGCTGCTGGTGCCTCTGGAGTCCCACAGACATCAAGGTGTAGAGTCCTCCAGAGTCTTACAACTGTGCATAAACCTTCTATTCGGCCACCACTAACCAATGCTCACAAGCAGAAACGGCTGCATTGGGCAGAAAAATACATGAAGACTAATTTTCAAACAGTTCTTCTTGAGTGCCGTGCAACCCTGGATGGTCCAGATGGATGGAGTAGTGGAAGGTTGGTGGACTGCCAACCTATTCAAACAAGTCTGCGACATCAGCAAGGCGGTGATGGAGTCATGTTTTGGGCCGGAATCATGGGAAGAGAGCTGGTCGGCCCCTTTAGGGTCCCCAAAGGTGTAAAGATGACCTCTGCAAAGTATGGGGAGTTTCTGACTGACCACTTTCTTCCCTGGTACAGAAGGAAGAACTATGCTTTCCGTAATAAAATCATCTTCATGCATGACAATGTACCATCTCATGCTGCAAAGAATACCTCTGCATCAATGGCTGCTACGGGGATAAAAGGAGCGAAAGTCATGGTGTGGCCTCCACCCTCCCCTGACCTCAATCCTATTGAGAACCTTTGGAGCATCCTCAAGAAAAAGATCTATGAGGGTGGGAGGCAGTTTACATCCAAACAGCAGCTCTGGGAGGCTATTCTGACATCTTGCAAACAAATTCAAGCAGAAACTGTCCAAAAACTCACAAGTTCAATGGATGCAAGACTTGTGAAGCTGCTATCAAATAAGGGGTCCTATGTTAAAATGTAACGTGACCTGTTAAAATGTTTAAAAAGTTAAAATGTTGTTATAAGTTTGATTGAAACAGCTTTTGATTTCAGTAAATATGCTGCAAACACAACAAATGACAATTTTCAGTTCTTTACAACCTATAAAGTGTTTTGAAACATACTGTGCGTAATAATTTGGAACAGTGCATTGTAAGTTTTTTATGTTTGAAAAAAATACTGTTATCATTAGGAGGTTTGTTCAATAAAATTTGAATTGTACTCTTAATAGTTGATAACATGAGAATTATGCTGACTGTTATTTACATCAATTATTTTGGTAAATAAGAAAAATATAATTTGCAACAGGGTGTAGAGATAGCTAGTGTCACAGATATCACTGTGCCATCCAGGTGTGGTCACCCTAGAATGGCCCAACAGGGGATTTGAACCTGGGGCTTTTGGCACCTTAAGCCTGAGTTCCTGCCTCTGAGACACTTCTATCTTTGGTCCTCTCTAGTTTTCATGACATTGCCTGCAGCACTAGGGGGCTGGACATCACCAGTTGCTCCTACCTGTCCATCTAAGTTCACCTGAGGCAGTCCCTCCCTGAGAACATTGTCAGTTCGTTGTTTCTTGTAACCTGTTTCCTAAGACTGACTTGGCTTGTGACCCTTTCTATTTGGATTATCTGTTATTGCCTGTTATTGCCTGTTCGCCGCCTGCCCTGACTTTTGGAACCATGTCTGACTACTCTTCTGGATTTGCCCTTGTCTGTTTCCTCGTACCTGGTTACAGTTCCTGCCTAAGCCCCTGTGCACAGATTCACAGCCCAGGTAGCTCCTTATCTGGTTACCGTGACAGATAGAGATAGATAGAGATATATATGTATATATATATATATATATATATGATGCCCTCAAACGTCTGATCCAATTCAAACCGATCTCAATTCATCTGAATTGTGGGTGATCGGTAATGCACCAAATTCCGCAAGTTGGTGCATAATGAAATTTGATCTGTCTGAACCAAGATAAGTCGATTTAGATGAACTGACGTTTTTCTTCGTACAAAACTCTAATATATAGAAAAATAAATAAATAGATACATAGACAGACTGACAGAGAGGCGGACAGATAGATATATAATAGATAGAATATTTAGTGAATAGTGTGCCTGCATGCGATATAGATGCCACGTTTAATGTGACATTGCTCAGTTATGGGAGCGAATTTGCTACAATTCTTTCCCTCCTCTTTCTACATGGCAATGATGTCAGACTGTAAGAGGGAATCGGCCGCCCTGCAGGGGGCATACAGCTGGTACAGCTCTGTTCCTGGGCAATGACTGCTGATTGGCCTGACAAATTAGTAAAGAGAGTGTCTCGATTGCAGCACTCCAACCAACTACGTGAAAACACAGTGCCCAGAGCTTGTACCCCACCCGCATTGCCCAATGTGGCATGCCCATTATCTGGCTCCCGACTCCCAAGTAACTGTCAATACCAAGTGAGCTGTACCAGGAAATATTTAATCAGAGATACATGAGACACAGGCAACATTGTAATATCATATAACATAATGTGATACAATATGATATAAAACAATATAATATATTATAACATTATATAATATGATCTAAACTAATATAGCATAATATAACAATATAATGGAATATAATATAACAATATTATGTATGATATAATCTAATTTAATATAATGTAATATAATGTGACAATATAACAAACTAATGTAATCTAATATAACAATATAATAAAATATAACAATATAATATAATGCAATATAATAATACAATATGATATAACATAATATAATAAAACAATATTATGTAACAATATAGAACTGTAATATAATAAAACAACATAATATCACAATATAATATAATGTAATATAATGTAATATAATATAATGTAATATAATGTAATATAATATAATATAATATAATGTAATATAATGTAATATAATATAATATAATATAATGTAATGTAATATAATGTAATATAATGTAATATTTTCATATGGAGTGACGTGTACAAACACCACTGATTTAGCCATTTTTTGCATAAATAATCCTCCCCAGTGCGTCATAAATTGCGCTACATATCTCCATTATGAATGTATGGCTACTTCCACCTGTACCATCGTCCTATAGGAAGAGATGTTTTTTTCCCTTTGTAAATGAAGGCACATTCCAAATGTCTCAGTTTTCCATAGCGAGTCCCTACTTCGCCCTCCCATGTTCCTGCTGTCCCGGCATTTGCATCAGCTTATTAATCTTAGTAGTCTAAAGGGTTAATTGGCTGTGATCATTTCACAATCTTTTTATGGGCGACTTTTAATATGACCCAGGGAGTTTTCTTATTTTACCAACATCATTTCCATTGATTTCTAAGATCTGTTCAATTACAAAACATGCCTAAAAGATTCCGGGAAAAGTGTCGATAATAGCCCCAAAACTCCTGATTCCAATAGTTCCTTGTTTAAAAAGCTGACAATTACCCTGAGCTGCGTGTGAGAAAGCCCAGGTGGGGTATCTTAATACCTACTGCTGCTTTGCCATAACATCACACCCTTCTTTCTATGAAGTCTCATTTCTATAAATAGTCGTCCACTGAAGCTCCATTACGTCCTGAATGTTTAATTCTTTCCTGAGAGTAACAGGAGCCCTGGTGGGGCAGCTGTGGACGGGAAGGAAGTCAGGAAGGGCAGCTATCGATGCCCCAGAGAAGTAACAGACGCTGGCTAAAAAGAGTCTAAAGTCACAGGTCAGAGTCTCCTGAGTCATTATCGCAGAGGCTGTGAACGGCTGCGGAGGTTGGATGGCAATGGCTGTTCTTTGCTGCTAATTAATTGCAAATGGCGGGAGGAAGGATGTGCCAAGCTGGGAGGAACGAGAGACCAGATTTCCTTCTTAACAACGCGATTAGTAGATAGGAGAACAGCACATCGATCATCGTGACCGACACAGACATTAACCCTTTACATGCCGCAGAGCTGAACACAGCGTTGGCAGATTTGACTGGTACTCAAAGGTGTTCGCAGGCGGAATTCAAAACAACGTAAAAATAAGGCATTTGGGTAAACAGGCATTTATTAAGAGTGAATAGTGGTGCAGCTGTACAAAATGCAAACATAGAAACTGTACATTTCAGAGATTAAAAGACCAAGTTATGTCCCCCTCTCAAGTAAAATTACTGGGGATTTGGTCCTGCCAACTGCTGTGTTATGCCCACCACTGTGTAAATCTAACACAAAACAGTGGGGGTCAGGGGAGTTGGGGGTGGGAGGGGGACACCGGGGCACCCCTTCGCTGAGAAGCCAGGATGTTTATTTCTGTCAGGTAGCTGGGACTCACAGAGGATTCACCTCCATTCTGTGCCCAAATGCCTGTAACCTGGGTGTTTAACAGGTGAAGGGCCAAAAGCCATAAGTCATAAACACACAGAGAGGAAAGCGATCATTCATTGATTTGTCAGTCTAAGGGAATACGTGTCTGCTTCATGGCAGAAGCTGACTGGATGTTGGTACTTTGTAGATTTTTCTAAATTTGTGCAGATTTGTCCATCTTTGAGAATCTGTCACAAAATTCAGCAGTACCCTCCCTAGTTTGTGCGCTCGATCCGACTCTTCCCGATACTGGTGGGATTTAAACGAATATTAACATGGTAGGCCAATGTACTAGCTGCAATACTTACAGGGATTGTCACTAAACTGAGAATTACGATTAAGTCAAAGCCAGACATGTAATGCTATACAGGATTGCGCATTGGGGACAAGGCTTCCCAAAAGTCATCAAGTTATTAATGAATTCATCCTTTTTTTTTTTTATTCAAAATTTACCATGTTGTTAACAGTGCATAATATTGCACCATATTGTATTACCGCACTGACTGCTTTTAGCGTGGTTGTCCTCTCCCGAGGTGTTAGCGGCGTTGTGGAACTGATGACAATTTGCTGGACACGGTGATATAACTATATGAGGAGGAAATAGAATATAAGAGGGAGGAAAGGCGTTTTATGACAGAGTATTTTCTTAATATATAATTATCGTACGAGACAATAATTGAATTCGCTCTAAATATGGCTGTTTTTATATTTTCGATCCTGCCATGCCTGACCCTTGAGGCTGTTGTCAGGTATTTTGGCACAAATCACATCGAGGGCTCAAACAATGCAACGTTCGCATTGATGACTTAGTAAAGTTTCCTTTTATGGCTTAAAACAGATTTCTGTTGACATTGTGACGAATACATATCCAGCTCCTACGACACTCTGTGCTGACACTATCAGGATTATTTACCAGTGTAAGAAAAGTCAGAAATTGAGGTGAATTTCAAATTTAAGGCTAAAATAGCTGAACTATAAACATTCTCCAAATCAGCATTGCTTCCAATTTGACTATTCTGGTCTGAAATGTAAAATTCTCTTAGAATTCACTTTGAATCCTGACAATTCTTACTTTAGTAAATAGCCCTGAGTGTAAGGCTTTTCCTCTCTCATATTAAAGATATTAAGGCTGTAAATTCTTCTCTGATATAAACATGTCTCCTCTCACACATAGCAAAGCTATTTATCCCCGAGCATTAAGAAAGTTGGCATGAAGGTTTGCCCTATAATTGCCAAGACAATAGTTTAGTGCATGTCTCTTGCTTGCAGGCACCTCACCAATCACATTCCAATAAATTCACAACCTCCAGAAAAAATGTTTTCATTCGACTGGCCGAGAGAGGAAATGAATGAAGGGGCCTGAGGGCAGAGTTGATGTATCTCATATTGTTTTTAAAATGTTCTAATTTCACCATCTCGTTCTCAGTTTATTAATTGGAAATGCGGTGTGTTGGGATTCCAATGAGATGAGTCTTACAGTGCGGTGGTTGGAGATTGCCAAAACAGCTTGACAACACAAAGCAAAGCCTTCGGGAGAATCTCGGGTGGACACTTTTTGGGTCACTTGTCTTCTTACTTCATGATGTGACTGGGCAACTACATTATGTGTTTTTCTCTTGGACGGATGTGAACTTTGTCCATGAAAAGAATGATTGCACCCAGCACATAACAAGGCTTTAAGGTTATTATATTCATGCAGAGCATTTCATCAAATAAATGTCTCCCGTCATTCTAGTTGAACTAGTTTCAACAAGTTTATCATCACTGAGTCCCCTGTTTCACCAATTTTTCCCATTATGATTTTGTAGCAAAATTATAATTAGGGAATGTGGGACTCACTAAGAGTATCACACAGAAGTTATGGGAGAACCAAAGCAGGCACATTTTACTAGGAGCATAGGATTATGGGAAATGCAAGTGATTTGCATGAAATCCCTTGGTTTTACCCTTGGTTTTACCCTAGAAGTCTGTAGTGCTGTCATTTGTCAGTGTACTATTGTTAATTAAAATACAGAAATATCAATGTAAGAATAAATGAATAATACACGTATTTTTTTCTGTTCCAGATGATAAAAATACATCATTATGAAATGTTACAGACCCCCTTTTAAGGAAGGCTTCTATTCTCAGCCTATTACCAGCTGGCCGGCTAATCTTTGTGATACTGCGGCGGCCGTGAGAAATTGGAATAGAAGTAAGGAGGCAGAATTTGGGGTTAAACCACTGTAAAATGATAAAACTCTTGAATTTAAGAGGGCACCCAGACACTCCTGCCCCCAGAACAACCTCACTGAGCTGTGTTCTCCTTTAATGGTTCCACTGTGATGACCCCAAGTTAAAAATCCCTCCTGAAATGTCTGCGCTGTGTCTGACTCGGTCACTGGTGAGTTTGCCAATCGATTGTCAAATACCGCCACCACTTGGCTCGCTGGTTGTCTGCAGATTTGGCTGCACAGATGATGTTTTTCCATCGGCAAATGAAATAAATCTGCACCGTATTTATCTAATAAAAACAGAATCCTTTGCATCGGTTTGGGTGGTATTTTGTTTTCAATTAATATAGACCAGAGTTTGGCTACATTTTGTACCGTGTTTTGCTCTCATTCTGAAATCACTGTGTCGCTATTGGGCTTCGTCCACTCGACTCCTTCATTCATCCGTTAAGCGTTATGTAAGGTGGAATTATCAGGAATCCACAAAAGATCGAGATGCAGGAGAAGTACAGGAAATAAGCCAGAACTATAGCCTGGTCAAGGAATGTAGAATGGTTGGTAGGTGTGTACCATCATCACTGGAACGCATATGGACCTTCTACATAGACTCGCCCCTTCCCAAACCTTAGCCTCCCTGAATCCTACCTTAAAGGGTTACTCCAAGACCCATGACCACTTCACTGAATTGAAGTGGTGATAGTGCTTGCAGTCTGTGCAGTGTTTTGCTGTGAAATGGCGCACATACAGAGTTTACCCCTCCTCCAGCATCACCGTGGTGTCGCTAGCCAGATCCAGGCGTCTGATGGCGAAAGGCATCCCTCCCCCTCTGTGCCAGCCATGCTTTTCCCCTCGTCCCGCCTCCCTGATACCTGTCGTCTGCAAGCGAGCAGGAGTGACGTCATCAGATGATCGGTCTGGGGGGAACACCTCTGAGCTGGCTGGATTGAAGGTGAGTTTGACCTATTTTATTTTCTGTGGAGCTCTGTGATACACTCATACACACTGCACATTGCTGTGAGTTTTATTGCTGTGGAGCTCTGTGATACTGTTATTTTGGTATTTACATCAAACATTTTAGTTTCTGTAAAAAAAGAGGATTGGAGAATATATTTAGACCAGCTCTTTTTTTTTTTAAATTCTCTACAATTCTTTGAATTGTTACAATTTTTGTATATTTTATACAGAAATATTGAGATTATAGACAGTTAAAATTCAATGAATCTTAAATTTGCCCAAATTTCTATAAAATACAGTTTGGAACAAAGCAAAAGCATAGTGTAAAGAACGCAGACCATAGAATGGTTTTATTTTCTGCCTGTTATACTGTTTAAAGGGGCAGCTTCGCTGGCTGCCTGATGATGATAAAAGTAGTGGTACTTCCTTCAATCCCAGTATTTCCTAATCAGAGAATTGTAGGGAACGATAAACCAACATCCAGAATCTAGAACTCTCCATCTCCATTCCCTATTTACTAAACTGTATCTTGCGAGCATCAGCTTCCGTCTCAAACTAATTTTCATCTCCAACAAAGTTTCAATCCTTGATTTTTTTTTTTTTAGAAAACTGAATTTTCATCGGGATTTTTCAGCTGATCGTTATCTAGACGGAGTAAAGAAATTGTATTTCGCGTGGCTCTCAGGTAACCGGATCAGAGGAATCACAAATCAGCCCGTCTGTAAAGGTGTTTAAGAGGAAGACTGACAGGCGGCCTGCTCCCCCCATGCGCCCTGTGTTCGGGATGTTTTCAATAAGAAATATCTCATCTGGAGACTCATAATGGATTTATCCTCTGTTTATGGAGCTAAATAGCCCTCTTAACAGTGGAGATCGGCACAGGGTGTGTGTCACCACAATGGCGTTTTATACGTGGGATCTAACCGCACATTTAAAAACTGTGCAAAAACAATCCAAATAAACACCACTAACCCCCCCAAATCTTTCTCTGCTTAACCCCTGAACTCAGACCCAAGTGTCCCGGTTTAGGAGAAGCAGTCCCTATTTTGGGCCCAAATCCCTATAATTCTACGATTTAGATTCTAACATATCGGTTTTATGTATTTTTACCTGTTTGACCTTTGAGAAAATATATTATTATAATAGAGGGAGGAGACAGATAAATGTAACGAGATTTTCCAATTGAATCACGCCAGTTCTAATAGACAAACAATTAGCAGGGCAAAATCTTGGTTTCCATGGTAATTGCTTCTTTATTTTTATTTGGAGAAGCAACAAACATGAAATCTGTAATAGCTGAACGGGATCGAAATCTGTCCCTTTATCACCAAATCGCTGTTTAGGGAATAGCTCCTATCACCATGGGATGTACTCACTAAATCTTAACTTGGGGGGAGGGGGGAGACGGGGGTGGAACTGGCAGGTTCTCGGGCACAGCATTATCTAGACATCTTGGGTTTTCCTTTAGCAGAACCATACTTACAGGAATGCTGTAACATCAATATATATGTGTTATTACAGCTCATTGTATCATTACAGCTCATTGTATCATTACAGCTCATTGTGCTATTACAGCTTATTGTGTTATTACAGCTCATTGTATCATTACAGCTCATTGTGTTATTACAGCTTATTGTATCGTTACAGCTCATTGTGTTATTACAGCTTATTGTATCATTACAGCTTATTGTGTTATTAGAGCTCATCGTATCATTACAGCTCATTGTGTTATTACAGCTTATTGTATTATTACAGCTCAGAGTATTATTACAGCTTATTGTGTTATTACCGCTTATTGTATCATTACAGCTCATTGTGTTATTACAGCTCATTGTATCATTACAGCTCATTGTGTTATTACAGCTCATTGTGTTATTACAGCTCATTGTATCATTACAGCTCATTGTGCTATTACAGCTTATTGTGTTATTACAGCTCATTGTATCATTACAGCTCATTGTGTTATTACAGCTTATTGTATCATTACAGCTCATTGTGTTATTACAGCTTATTGTATCATTACAGCTTATTGTGTTATTACAGCTCATTGTATCATTACAGCTCATTGTGTTATTAGAGCTCATCGTATCATTACAGCTCATTGTGTTATTACAGCATATTGTATCATTACAGCTCATTGTGTTATTACAGCTTATTGTGTTATTACAGCTCATTGTATCATTACAGCTCATTGTGTTATTACAGCTTATTGTATCGTTACAGCTCATTGTGTTATTACAGCTTATTGTATCATTACAGCTTATTGTGTTATTACAGCTCATTGTATCATTACAGCCAATTGTGTTATTAGAGCTCATCGTATCATTACAGCTCATTGTGTTATTACAGCTCATTGTATCATTACAGCTCATTGTGTTATTACAGCTTATTGTATCATTACAGCTCATTGTGTTATTACAGCATATTGTATCATTACAGCTCATTGTGTTATTACAGCTCATTGTATTATTACAGCTCAGAGTATTATTACAGCATTGTGTTATTACAGCTTATTGTGTTATTACAGCTCATTGTATCATTACAGCTCATTGTGTTATTACAGCTTATTGTATCATTACAGCTCATTGTGTTATTACAGCTTATTGTATCATTACAGCTATTGTGTTATTACAGCTCATTGTATCATTACAGCTCATTGTATCATTACAGCTCATTGTGTTATTAGAGCTCATCGTATCATTACAGCTCATTGTGTTATTACAGCATATTGTATAATTACAGCTCATTGTGTTATTACAGCTTATTGTATCATTGCAGCTCATTGTGTTATTACAGCTCATTGTATCATTACAGCTCATTGTGTTATTATAGCTTATTGTATCATTACAGCTCATTGTATCATTACAGCTCATTGTGTTATTACAGCTCATTGTGTTATTACAGCTCATTGTATCATTACAGCTCATTGTGTTATTACAGCTCATTGTGTTATTACAGCTCATTGTATCATTACAGCTCATTGTGTTATTACAGCTTATTGTATCATTACAGCTCAGTGTATCATTACAGCTCATTGTGTTTTACAGCTCATTGTGTTATTACCGCTTATTGTACCATTACAGCTCATTGTGTTATTACAGCTCATTGTATCATTACAGCTCATTGTGTTATTACCGCTTATTGTATTATTACAGCTCATTGTGTTATTACCGCTTATTGTATTATTACAGCTCATTGTGTTATTACCGCTTATTGTATTATTACAGCTCATTGTGTTATTACAGCTTATTGTATTATTACAGCTCAGAGTATTATTACAGCTTATTGTGTTATTACAGCTCATTGTATCATTACAGCTCATTGTGTTATTACAGCTTATTGTATCATTACAGCTCATTGTGTTATTACAGCTTATTGTATCATTACAGCTTATTGTGTTATTACAGGTCATTGTATCATTACAGCTCATTGTGTTATTAGAGCTCATCGTATCATTACAGCTCATTGTGTTATTACAGCATATTGTATCATTACAGCTCATTGTGTTATTACAGCTTATTGTGTTATTACGGCTCATTGTATCATTACAGCTCATTGTGTTATTACAGCTTATTGTATCATTACAGCTCATTGCGTTATTACAGCTTATTGTATCATTACAGCTTATTGTGTTATTACAGCTCATTGTATCATTACAGCTCATTGTATCATTACAGCTCATTGTGTTATTAGAGCTCATTGTATCATTACAGCTCATTGTGTTATTACAGCATATTGTATCATTACAGCTCATTGTGTTATTACAGCTTATTGTATCATTGCAGCTCATTGTGTTATTACAGCTCATTGTATCATTACAGCTCATTGTGTTATTATAGCTTATTGTATCATTACAGCTCATTGTATCATTACAGCTCATTGTGTTATTACAGCTCATTGTGTTATTACAGCTCATTGTATCATTACAGCTCATTGTGTTATTACAGCTCATTGTGTTATTACAGCTCATTGTATCATTACAGCTCATTGTGCTATTACAGCTTATTGTGTTATTACAGCTCATTGTATCATTACAGCTCATTGTGTTATTACAGCTTATTGTATCATTACAGCTCATTGTGTTATTACAGCTTATTGTATCATTACAGCTTATTGTGTTATTACAGCTCATTGTATCATTACAGCTCATTGTATCATTACAGCTCATTGTGTTATTAGAGCTCATCGTATCATTACAGCTCATTGTGTTATTACAGCATATTGTATCATTACAGCTCATTGTGTTATTACAGCTTATTGTATCATTGCAGCTCATTGTGTTATTACAGCTCATTGTATCATTACAGCTCATTGTGTTATTATAGCTTATTGTATCATTACAGCTCATTGTATCATTACAGCTCATTGTGTTATTACAGCTCATTGTGTTATTACAGCTCATTGTATCATTACAGCTCATTGTGTTATTACAGCTCATTGTGTTATTACAGCTCATTGTATCATTACAGCTCATTGTGTTATTACAGCTTATTGTATCATTACAGCTCAGTGTATCATTACAGCTCATTGTGTTTTTACAGCTTATTGTATCATTACAGCTCATTGTGTTATTACAGCTTATTGTATCATTACAGCTTATTGTGTTATTACAGCTCATTGTATCATTACAGCTCATTGTATCATTACAGCTCATTGTGTTATTAGAGCTCATCGTATCATTACAGCTCATTGTGTTATTACAGCATATTGTATCATTACAGCTCATTGTGTTATTACAGCTTATTGTATCATTGCAGCTCATTGTGTTATTACAGCTCATTGTATCATTACAGCTCATTGTGTTATTATAGCTTATTGTATCATTACAGCTCATTGTATCATTACAGCTCATTGTGTTATTACAGCTCATTGTGTTATTACAGCTCATTGTATCATTACAGCTCATTGTGTTATTACAGCTCATTGTGTTATTACAGCTCATTGTATCATTACAGCTCATTGTGTTATTACAGCTTATTGTATCATTACAGCTCAGTGTATCATTACAGCTCATTGTGTTTTACAGCTCATTGTGTTATTACCGCTTATTGTACCATTACAGCTCATTGTGTTATTACAGCTCATTGTATCATTACAGCTCATTGTGTTATTACCGCTTATTGTATTATTACAGCTCATTGTGTTATTACCGCTTATTGTATTATTACAGCTCATTGTGTTATTACCGCTTATTGTATTATTACAGCTCATTGTGTTATTACAGCTTATTGTATTATTACAGCTCAGAGTATTATTACAGCTTATTGTGTTATTACCGCTTATTGTATCATTACAGCTCATTGTGTTATTACAGCTCATTGTATCATTACAGCTCATTGTGTGAATGCAGCTTATTATATAATTACAGCCTATTATATAATTACAGCTCTTTGTATTATTGCAAATTATTGTATTATTACAGCTCAATGTGTCATTACAGCTCATTGCATCATTACAGCTTATTGTATTATCACAACTCTGTGTATTAGTACAGCTCATTGTATCAATACCACTTATTATATCATTACCGCTTAATCCGTCATTACAGCTTATTGTATTATTACAGCTTATTGTATCATTAAAGCTGTATCATTAAATCATCAAACGATTTAAAAGCAGTTTGACAAATGTTGGGGTTCTGTTTCCCTTGAACCTGGAGATGCCACGTCCTTAACATTATTGATAATGTGACTGTAGCGGAGAGCTGATATTCCACAGATTATCTCCACTTAAGATCCCAGGGAGGCTCAGGAACAAGTATTAGAAATCCATAAGGCAATAATTCCAGCAGGCAAAACAATCCAATAATATCCCAACATCAATC